GCCTTGTCAATCCCGTGCTAAATACAGCGCTGCAGACAGCATCTTCACTGGTGCTGTATCTGATTCTGCACAGTTGTCAATACCTGTGGTACATCTTCCACTTCTACTACCACGATCGTTATACATGGCTGTGGGGTGATGTCCATCTATTCTAAAAAGTGCTGGTGTTCGTTGTAATGTGTCCAAATGTCTTTGATTGTACTGGTGTGGTTGAGTTTCCCAGTATGACTACACCTGTAACTTCTGCATCCTGAAGCTGAGATGGCACTGTTTTTTTCCCCACACTGAAGGACAGTCACTCTTGCTAAAGACTGGATGTGTAAGACAGCTTTGTTCTTCTCAAGGTGGAAGGAGTGAATGGATCATCAATTAACCAGTGCCCACTCAATTCTCTCTCTTTTTTTTTTTCAAATTAAAAAAACTCCTGCTGGTGCTACACCTGATTTTTAAATGCTTTTCATTGTAGTGTTTTCACCCTGCCTGGCTGAGTCTTAAAGGGACACTGTAGGCACCCAGACCACTTTGGCTAATTGAAGTAGTCTGCTGTGACACTTTTACACTTAGTACAATGTTTACATTGCAGCTCTAAGTCTGCCCCCAGTGCCCAAGCAAGTTGGCTCCCTTGGGTATGCATGTCCCAAGTAAGACATGCAAAAAAATTCTAATGGGGGACTATGTCGATTTTTTTTTTATCCCTGGTTTCTCCGGATAAGGATTCAGTAGATGGGCCTCGTAGGGGTGAGCCAGTGGAAGGGGAGAAGAGCAAGCAGCTCCAACGCACGTTTGGGAAATGGTTGCAGGGCTTTAATATATTTGCTAACATTCTGTCCCGGCATTTCCCAGATAGGGTATGTTCGGGTACTTGGATCTTATTTAGGGGGCTTACAAAATTTATGGGAGTAAATGCTGGTTTAGATATGACCAGCAGTTTAGGCAGAAGACGGCAGTGTGTCCAGGGTTGGATTTTGGGACGCAAGATGGCAGTCTCTGGCTGCTTCTGATGACCCCAAGTCGGCCGTCGCCTTTTCAGGGAGCAGCCAGCGGCCACACTGGTGCCCCAGCTGGACCCAAACGAGGGGTTTATTAACACTTTAACGAGAGCAACTGCAGGTGGTATAGTAACTGCAGATTCAGACAAGAGTGCTCGCACTGCAGAGAAGCCCACCCAGCAGCACGCTGCTTCAAAAAAGCAAAACAGGTGCTTCCAAAAGGGGAGGCTCTGGAGACTGCATCCAAAGGCGTGGACCCCGGTGAGCGTGGTAAGGATGGCGCTGTGGCTCGCGTGGTATCCTAGGCAGTGGGAGGTGTTGATTTTGGAGGATAGGTTTTGGGTGGGGTTTTGGATTCCTTTTGTTCATTTGTCTGAGCTGCGTTTTGCTAACAATTTGCATTTGGTTCGGGCAGGGAAGGGATGTCGCGGGAAAAACTGGATTAAGAGGATCATTTGGGGAGGATGGCAGGGCCATTTGGCTTCACCCCGTTTGATAACCTTCAATTTTCGCCGTTGGGTTTGGTCCCGAGGAAGGAGGAGGGGGCCTATGGCATAATTCACCACTTGTCTTATCCAGCAGGTAAGTCGGTTAATGATGGCATAGATAAGGAGTTCAGCCGGGTGCACTATGCATAGTTTGACAGGGAGTTGGAATTGGTCCGGGAGGCAGGGGCTGTGGCCTTGTTATCGAAGTCGGATATTAAATCGGCCTTCCGCTTGCTGCCCGTGCATCCGGAGTGCTATCACCACCTGGGTTGCCTCTTTTGAAGGTTGGTTTTACTACAAAATGTGCCTTCCCATGGGGTGTGCCATTTCCTGTTCGTATTTTGAGACATTTGCCTCCTTTCTGGAGTGGGTGGTGGTGTGTGTTTCAGATTGGTTACCCATTATTTGGATGACTTTTTGTTTGTGGAAGAGCAGGGGGTCAGGGTCTGTGCGGACCTACTGTGGGTTTTTTGGGAAGTGGCGGCAGATTTTGGTATTCCAATAGTGGAACAGAAGAAGGTCCAGCAGAGGTTCTCTCGTTCCTTGGAATGGAAATTGATTCCACCAGAATGATCTTTCGATTGCCAGATGACAAGGTCTCTGTCCTGACCCAATGGGTGCATCTGGTAAATGGGGCAAAAAAAGTTCTGTTGGTGCAACTTCAGGTCTTGCTGGGTCACCTGGCATTTGCGTATCGTGTCCTACCCATGGTCGAGTTTTCTGTCGATGGTTATCCTTGGCAACGGTTGGGATTTGGGAACTGTTTCATTTTCTAATGGTAACCAGATAGCTCAAGGTAGATCGGCAGGTGTGGAGCTCCTTACTGGAGAAGTTCAGTGGGTGGTTGTGCTGGCTGCGAGCTGTGGTAAAAAACTCGTAGTTGGAGCTTTACACGGATGCGTATGGACCCCTCAGCTTTGGGGCATACTTTAAGAGTCAGTAGTGTGCTGGGGCTTGGCCGGAGGGTTGGAAGGGTAAGGACATATACATAAACTTCCCAATTGTGGTGTCTCTCGAGTTGTGGGGTGAGGACTACGGGATAGGACGGTTCATTTTCACACTGACAACATGAGTGTTGTCCATGTGATTAATCGTTCCTCGTCAGTATCGCCGTCAGTGTTGGCATTGCTGAGGCGCTTGGTCTTGTTGAGTTTACAGTATAATGTGTGGGTTTGGGCATGTCACGTGTCAGGGGTGGAAAAAGTCATCGCTGATTTGCTTTCTCAGTTCCAGTGGCAGCGTTTCCGAGAGGTGGCGCCAGAGGCGGATCGGGAGTGGCATTTTTGTTTTGTTTCTTTGGGGCTTTGCGGATAGGGGAATTGGTGGCTGCATTTGTTGAATGCTTCTTGGTGATCCGACCGGTGGGTGGAGGGTCACTGCTGGTGCATCGGGACGGGTCTCCACTGACGTGGTATCAGTTTTCCAATAGGCATGTGCATGGGCCAAAAATCTGGTTCAGTTCGGCACTTCCAAAATTTGTGAATTCAGCACTTCAGTTCGGTTTGGTACTTCCGAAATTTGGCAATTCGGGACTTCGGGAATCCGGCAGTTCCCTAACCCTACCACTACTAGGGTTAGGGTTCGAGGAAGGTTGGGGTAAGGGTTTAATGTAAGGGGTAGGGTTAGCGTTAGGGCTAGGGTTAAGAGTAGGGGTAGGGTTATATTCCTGTCATCATTCCCTTCATTTTCTCTTCCTCTCCTGTTTTGCCACTTTTGCACTTCAGAATTCGGGACTTTCGGCAATTCAGTTCAGTACGGCACTTCCGAAATCCGGCACTTTGGCAATTCAGACATTCGTAAGCATCTGAATGTCCGAATTGCCAAATTTCTTCCGAATTTAAATTTGGATTGAAACGAATTACCAATGTCTATTTTCCAAGGTGTGGAGGGAATCCTTGGTCACTAGTCTTAGAGGTCCAACAGGTTATTCGAACCATTCTTTCCATTTCGGGACGGCCACACAGGCTAGCGTTATGGGTTACTCCACAGCATCGGTGCAGAGGTTGGGTAGGTGGAGTTGTAGTAGGTTTCAATTGTACGTCCGGCCTCATCTGTTATAATGCATTGTTAGTCAGGGTTGGGTCTGTTGTCTGTTTCTTTACAGTTCCTTATTTGTTCCTTTTAGGTCCTCCTCCCCGATACGTAAAGATATTAGGGCACTCATACATCTACTGGGCGGCAAGGTGGGCAGAGGAGCGCCCTTCACGTCGCAACTTGGAGTTTTCCTATGACACAGCTCGTGTCCGGTGGAGGGGTATTTGGGATTTGTCGTGGAGTCAAGTGTATCCAGAGTGCCGTTTCCTCAGCAGGTTTGTTCCCAGGTCTGTTATATTGGTTATTCGCGTGTAATGATCTGGGCCAGGTTAGGACAATTGACTAGATTAATTCCATTAAAGATAATGTTGCCCTTTGTATGGCATTGTGGTTCCCAGGCCATGTTGGCAGCAGCTGCTGTATGCTAAGGGGCTCGAGCACAGTAGGCACAAACTGAAAATGACTATTGCGAGGTTCGTAGGAAGGTTTGGGGTATCGTGGTGGGGCGTGTCGAGTTGGAGGGGGCCATACAAATTTGATGCGGAAGGATGGGGTCCACTTAAATCTGATAGGACTGGATATATTCAATGTTGGGTTGCAAGCAGGGATTGAGAGGGTGCTGGTGGTGGGGGGCGTGATGCCGGGGGAGTGGGAAGGAAGCCGGCACCGCGGTGGCGGGATACCTGGCCAGCGCATGTGAAGGCAAGTGCCAATTCGGATTGGGGAGTCGCAGCCTGCTTGGGCTGATGGCAGGTTGCTTTGGACTCTGGGAACAGAAAGTTATATCTGTCTTGTGGAATAATCACCCCCATCAGCTAACAGGTGCTGGTTCAAAATGCTGGTTCAAAAGTTCAATAAAGCTGTGGCCATTGCCCTTATCCACTATACAGGTGTTTGTGTATTTATTGGGCAGCAGGAAGGTTTACATGGGTCAGCAGTCATACTTACTGCTCAGGGTGTGAATTGGTCAACTGCCCAATGGTTTTTCTTTTGTTTGTTTTTTAACTTTTTTGTAAAATTTCCCATTATTCTTCTTGGCTGTGTACATCAACTGTTCCAGGAGTTGCAGTTGTAGTGGAATGATTGTTGGTGAATTTGTTTCAGCTGAATCACTTCAGAATTCCATTACTGCCTAGTGGGCCTGGTGATGATGGGCCTTATTACATAGAAACATAGAATATGACGGCAGATAAGAACCATTCGGCCCATCTAGTCTGCCCAATTTTCTAAATACTTTCATTAGTCCCTAGCCTTACCTTATAGTTAAAATAGCCTTATGCTTATCCCATGCATGCTTAAACTCCTTTACTGTGTTAACCTCTACCACTTCAGCTTGAAGGCTATTCCATGCATCCACTACCCTCTCAGTAAAGTAATACTTCCTAATATTATTTTTAAACCTTTGCCCCTCTAATTTAAGACTATGTCCCCTTGTTACAGAATCTTATCAACAGAAAACATGAGATGCATTTTTAAGAATACACATACCCTGTGCTAATCTTTGACTTTCATCTCCCAACCAAACACTTACCCCCAACCATCAACTTCCTGTAAAGCATGCATTTGGTGGGCCAGGTAAAAGGATATGGGCCAGTGACGATTATCATGTCAACGACATCGCCCAAATGAGCAGACCCGCCTGTAAAGGGATGCAGCTCTGGCTGAAGAATTGGAAGGTTCCTGCTTCTAACTAAGGAAGAACTATACAGACATTGCTGTTTCAGCAACCTGAGCTAGGTGTGGCAAAGGAAGGGGTTTTTTTTTTACTGTCAGAACAAGGATATGGAATTCTCTTCCGTTCGTACAGTTCGAACAGATGTTTAAACAGCAACTAGATGCATTCTTGCAAAAACAGAAATTGGAAATGCTTCAAACTGTTTGTTTTTTTTGCCTTCTTTTGGATCAAGAGCATAAATGTGAGGAAGGCTTAACTTGATGGATACATGTCTATTTTCAGCCTATGTAACTATGTGAAGGAGCCTAATTATATGCCTGCTCTACACCTTCTGAGGAAAATACCCTGGTGTCCCCCAGCACTCACTTTTCCTCTCCTTGTCAGCAGACTTCCCCACACAGGGGGAGGGAGCACACCCTTGTGTGCTGAGGGAAGGTTGCACCCACAGCACATGTGACTGTTCAGGACTGCATAATGTCAATCCTGTGCATAAATTGCATGTGTCGTCAGTGTACAAATGCGGTTTTCCAATACTTCTCGATTTCATTGAGAAGGTAGGAGGGAGGCAGGCACGTGCTAGCACAGAGTGACTGCCACTCTGTTAACTCTGTTTAGCTAATGGAAGTGGAAGAAAACCTCCCTGGCTATATGATTGACAGCCAGGGAGGTGTTTTTGCCCCCGTTACAAAATAAAAGGAGCATATGTTTTTATTGAAGTGCTTTACTTGTATAAATAAGAAGACGTGAGGGGTAAGTGGATGCTACTTTCAATCCAGATTTCAATGTCCAGTTGCTCTTTGCAGACTTTCATTATATACATACACAAAATAACTGGGCTACTGTTACACAGAATACTGTGCATACAGTCTATGGAGAAAATCTATAGAGGACCGTGATTTTAAAACGTTCTAGCTAAACCAACAAAAGGTAAAAACTATGATGCTGGCGCTGCTGCAGGCAAGTAGATACTCTAAGTCATATATTCTGGCAATGCCGGGTATTAAGCACCTACTGGAGGCAGATACAATCACTAATAGAAACTAATCTAAAGAAGGAGGTCCCGGTCACTTGCATACCATAATATGGCTATACCAATGTAATAATGTTTCTACTGTTTCTTGGTTGTATAATTTGTTGTGAAACACTGTGTAACCATGGTGACGAAACAAATAATAAAAAATATATATATATAAAAAAATTTTTTTTAAAAAGTAAAGACTATGGCTTGGTAAGGTTTGATATTCTGTGCCATGGTGAGTGCCCAGATTGTGCTTTATATATGATATACTCACGTTTTCCTCATTCTTCTACAGTATGACAGGTCTGTTCCATATACAAATTAACTTGCTTAAACAGACTGAGCTTACTTTCCATTCAGATCCATCAAGGGGATCATCATCCATCTGCCGTCTGACTGATGTTTCTCTTCCTGAAGGATAAATAATAAGTGCCAAATTATCAGTGCTTTTACCTATAGGAAGGGCCTAATGTGCTTGTGGAGTTTGCCGCACATACGTATTAGCCCCCAGTCGGAGGAAGCAGAGCGCCGATCCACATCGGTGCTGGAATCAAATAAGTGACTAAAGGTCTTTTTCCCAAACTTTAGATGCTGGAGAGGTGAAAGGAGTGTGACAGGGGGATCAGAGGGCACTATAGTGTAAGGAATACTAGATTGTATTCTAACACAATAGAATCCCTTTAAGATGGATTTTTTTTTTTTTTTTATCATTATTTTCGGTATAGTGCAGACAAATAGTAATTTTCTATTGTTGCACCCCCAGAACCAAGTTGCAGCATGCTTTGAGTAGTGTGCACTGTGATAAGGAACAAGGTTTTTTTCAAGTTTAAAATGCCCATTTCCATGAGTAGAAAGTGTATATTATGATACTGCTAATGAATCATTTTTTTAAATGGAACATGCTTGAAATTAAAATCCAGTAATCAGCACAGTACTTAATTAATTATTTACATGTCCAGGGTTATACTTTCCCTAACAATAATGTGAAAGTAAGAGGGAATACAGAAAAAAGAAGACTAGTTTTATTTTACTAGAGAACACAGAAAATGCTGGCAAAAAAAAGCCAACTGTTATTTTAATTTAATGTTTCACACTATTTTATTGTTTTTAAGCTGGTGATTTTGCCGTTATAAATGCTTGTGTCCGTTTTTTTTAAACAAGAAACATTGCTCTTTTATACTACACTAAGTACTATATTATTGATATTGCTAATAAAGCTGCGGTTATTTAAATTTTTTTTTTTTTCCATAATATCCTCTTAGCAATGACTCTATTGGCAAAGCATTCTGGGACATGTTGTTCCTGCGTGCGTTCTTACCGAGGACGTAACCCATCCATGGAACTACAATATTCAAGATGCAACGAGAAACGATCAAGTGATACGATCAGCCAATCGGCACGGAGTATGGAGGAAAGCCCTTTGTCCAGAGCTATGGCTTTTTCACGCATGCGCAAACAGCTGGCAGCAGGTAGGACCTGGGGAATCCTGATTGTATAGAATGGTAGAAACCCTCCACTGAGCTTTTTTTTTTTATAGGGTGATAGCCAAGCTAAATAAATGGCAATAGAGATTACCAGTAATTCATGCCAGTGGCTTATTTGCCTTTAAAGGGTAATTATTCTATAAAAAGATGTAAAAGTGACATTTTATAAATGGTGACATTTCTTCTATACATTGTACAATCACATTACCAGGAAAATGTGTAGATCAAATGTCTTTTTTTACTTGAAGTTTGCAGAGTGCAAATCAGAGTTGCTGTAAATTGCCCTACACAAAGCTGCTCATTAATAAATACATTCTATCTTAAATTACCCATAGTTTACAGGAGTGTATAAACATAAAAAAGCAATAATGAAAAAGAATATTGGTAAATATTTCCAAGTGGTGTAAAAACACGTGTCTTTGCAAAATAATTACAAATATTTATATAGCACCAACTTATACCGCAGCGCTGTGTAATAGATAAAAGAAGACAAACTATTCTGAAACTCATTAGAGATTCCGTAACCGTAGGTAAAGAGCACCCTGCCCTACGCTATCTATCACATTTTTAACTTTACTTTGGTATGCGGTCAGTAATAAGTAAGGCATAAATATTTGGAATTTATTTGTAAAATGAGGACTATTGATAAATTATGGTATATGTCATGTCCCATTCCACATTGGAAAAGACAAATATTTGCTGAATTTCTGAATTTGCAAGTAATTTTTTTTTTTTTCATCACTAGGGAAAGTCACCATGTATAATATCCACGGTTAGAATTCACATTTTGGGTACACCTAAACTGACATATCTATATAGCATTTGATAAGAAAGTATCCTGGAAGAACAAGTATTCATCAGTTGTTTTGTTATTTTTTCTTGTGGTAGTAGAAGCATATTTGCATGCAGTGTATTTAAAAGGACATTATAGGTACCCAGACCATTTCAGCTCATTGAAGTGGTCTGGGTGCACTGTCCCTGTCCCCCCTTAGTTCTGCAATGCAAAACATTGCTGTTTTAAAAAAAACTGCAATTATTACCTTGCAGGACTAAGACTTCGGCTAGTGGTTGTCAATCCGACAGCCACGAGAGGCACATCCTGAATCCTTATGGACTTTTGGTCGCCTAACTGACACTGGACGTCCTCATGCTCTGTATGATAACATCCAGCATCAGTGAAATCCCCGTAGGAAAGCATTAAAGCAAGCATCTCCTTAAAATATTTAAAAATAACTAATTAGTAGATATATCTGTTACGATTGCCCCTGGTCTAGCAGGAGGGTTGATCGCTTGGATGTCCTGGTTCCCGCTGCAGAGAGTCGAACAGAGGTCTTTCGGTAGTAAGCTGTAAGTGTAGAATATCCCCAAGCACGATATAAGCATCAATATCCCGGATCCCTACAACATGAGTCGAGGCTGCAAGTTGAGGGTCAAAACGAACTGGCTTTACTGGCACATAGCATGGCAATTTATGTGATTCCTCAGGTCCAAGGACAGCCCCCTGTGGACCTGATGGAATACAGGTACAGTACAGACACATATCCAATCACAATACAGTGTATCCTTTGAATTAGTACCCGCCCAGCTTGGAGATAATGAGGCCAACGGTTATACAATCTAATTATCTCCAAGCGCACCAAAGACCACGTTTTATTATGTCCCAGAAAACTGCATAAAAATCCATAACTTTTACATTAATAAAGACAAACCCCGCATTCTACCATTCATCTGAAGGCTCACGTTCGTGTAAATAAAACATGCGAATGGCGCTCTAATCCCACGAACAGAATGTACTGTTTCTGCCGTATGAAGTCCGTTCGGCATTTTGGGATTATTAGTCTTTGTTGGCGGCCATGTTTTTTGCTGGTTTAGCGAGCAGCGGGACTTCGTGTCTAACTCGTGGAACTAAACTCGGTATCAGTTCATGCGAAGTCCCGCTGTCTGACTGGTGGTGGGCTCGTTCGGTAAGGGAATGAGGACCACCTGGGAGCAGGGTACTTGACCTGCGGTTAATCGCAAAAACCACAAGTTAATGAGCGCCACACGACCCGCTGTAGGGGGTCGTCGTTCGGTTGATAGTTCAGTATTTTCCCTTCGGTACTTTGGGTGCGAACGTCGATGCCCCCAGGCCTACCAATTACGTTGTGGTTAACCGCAAACCGCAGGCACCTGGGTGGTTAATGGCTGCCACACTCCGGGGGCCGGGTGGTCGACCGTTCGGTAGTTTGTGGGGTGACGGGGATAAGTGGCGGCACACGCCAGTTTGTGGGGGGTCCCCCGTTCGTACCACGAATGGAGCCTTCATAAGGGTTCGCATAATCCATTCGTGTGGTTTTCTGCTTAACTTATGCAGTGGCAAACAGTATCAATCGGTGAGTTAAAACAGCAACATAGTGATTTCCAGTCTTTTGTAACAATATCCCAAATGAAAACACACATGCATTTATTCTCAGGGGGTAAATCTAACAGCTTACAAATGCTGCGGGTCTCTTGTCTAAAACATTTGCAAGTCCATCCTTTCTTCACCAGCACAGACTTGAAAGCTTTGCTGGATAATACTCCAGAGCCTTCTAACTGAAACGTCTCTGTGCTGGAGCCATGAGCGCATGCACACGTATGCAGATTTCCAATACTTCTCGATTTTATTAAAAAGGGGGGAAGGCAGCCACATACTAGCACAGCGTGACTGCCCGTTCTGTTAGCTCTGTGGAGCTAATGGAAGTGGAAGAAAACCTCCATGACTTTTCTGATTGACAGCCAGGGAGGTGTTTCTGCTCCCTCGTGCCTCCGTTAAAGGACCACTATAGTGCCAGGAAAACATACTCGTTTTCCTGGCACTATAGTGCCCTGAGGGTGCCCCCACCCTCAGGGACCCCCTCCCACCCGGCTCTGGGGAGAGGAAAGGGGTTAAAACTTACCTTTCTCCAGCGCCGGGCGGGGAGCTCTCCGCCTCCGATCCTCCTCCTCTCCTCCCTTTCGGCTGAATTGGCACGTGCGGCAAGAGCTGTGCGCGCATTCAGCCGGTCTCATAGGAAAGCATTTACAATAGTAGAAACAATGCTTTCCTATGGACCCTTGCGTGTTCTCACTGTGATTTTCACAGTGAGAATCACGCAAGCGCCTCTAGCGGCTGTCAATGAGACAGCCACTAGAGGATTTGAGGGCTGGATTAACCCATTTACAAACATAGCAGTTTCTCTGAAATGGCTATGTTTATAAAAAAAATGGGTTAACCCTAGCTGGACCTGGCACCCAGACCACTTCATTAAGCTGAAGTGGTCTGGGTGCCTAGAGTGGTCCTTTAAGGCTGTGGAATACTCCAGAAACTTTTAATTGAAACACCTCTGTGCTGGAGCTGTGAGTTTTCACGTGTTTAATAAAATTAAAAAATGCTTAAAATTCTCCAAAAATTAATAAGTACATCAAAAAAGGGCAAATTACAAGATAAATTTAGAATAAACTTAATCAGTGATTTTGGTTAGATAATTTCACGATAGGGTAGTACTGCCCTCACTATTCTCAATTTATGGTGTGTGTACCCTCTTGTCTTATTACCTGCTTTTTTTTTTAAAGATCCTTATGGTATTTGGTAGGACACACTTGCTGTTCAAGGTACTTGACTACTGCAATACCCTTCTCAGTGGTCTTACGTGTTCCCAGATTGCACCGCGGCAAGCCTCCCCGCTCTGTCAATCCCTGCATTGGCTTCCAGTTAGATATAGGGCTCATTTTAAAATTCTGGTGCTTGCTTACAAGTCCATACATAATGCTGCTCCAACCTACCTATCCTCCCTAATACACAAGTATGTCCTATCGAGTCCCCTACGCCCTTCCAAAGACCTACGTATATCCTCTGTCCGTACTCCCACCTCTAATGCTCGCCTCCAAGATTTCTCCAGGGCTGCACCTCTTCTGTTGAACTCCCTTCCCTTCTCCGTAAGACTCCACTCATTCAAAAAAATCATTGAAAACTCACTTCTTCATGAAAGCATATCAATTAAACTGTTAGCAGGTTTTTATCCCCCACCCCCCATGACTCCTCTTCTGCAACTGTCAAAAATTACCTACTAAGCCCTCTTCTAACAACCTATTTCGTACCCCTACTTGTACCCTTTGTGTCACTATATCCCACTTCCTCTAGACTGTAAGCTCAATGAGCAGGGCCCTCCACCTCTCTGTTCCTGTACGTCCAGTTGTCTAGTTATAACTACATGTCTGTTAGTCCACTCATTGTACAGCGCTACGGAATCTGATGGCGCTATATAAATAATAAAATAATAATTATAAAATGTTGATGTTGAGATTTACATATTTGTAAGAATGTTACTTGTGATACTTCTGGTTGCATTCAGTTTGACTTAACATCTGGTAAAAATTTCGACAATGAGTTTTCATTAATTGTATAATTAGATTCTGATTGATGAGTACACCCTTTCTTTGTAAATCTAACTTATCTATGTCATATATTAACAGGGGACACAGAATGGATTCTGAACTAGTGCCAAAAACAGAGTATGAAGAGGACCTATGCACAGTTACTGTTCAGGATGATGATCAGAGTGATGCTGTTAATGCCAGCCCAGGTTAGTAACTTATATCATTTATTTAAAAGTTTCAGAATACATGCATTCCATATTTGTGAAATAGTAGCCAAATGAGAGTTAAGAAGACATGAGGAGTTTTTTTTAGGCATCCACAATGTTTATCTGCATTCATTGAAACCAACTGACTAGATGGGTAATGTACAATGTCGCTCACTTTGTTCACAAATGAACCATTTATACTGCTAGTTTACATTTATTTTGGGAATTCTTGTAAAGATAAATACATAGCCACCTCTATACTAAACTTCAAATAAATAATGCTCATTTTCATGATAACCCTTTAACCCCTTAAGGACACATGACATGTGTGACATGTCATGATTCCCTTTTATTCCAGAAGTTTGGTCCTTAAGGGGTTAAAGCAATACTCTAAGCACCATATCCACTAGAAACAATGTAGTGGTTATGGTGCCAGGAGTGCCCTGCCCCCTCACAATTGTAAAAAGTCAAAGCGTTTTAGAATGTTTTATGCCTGGAGTCTTCAGATTGCTGCTTTCTACCTCCAGGAGAGGCAAAAGCTCATTGTCTAAACTAAGCCGAGAGAGAAAAAACAAGAAGAGATAATGGCTGTGCCAGAGAAACCTAATATCAAACAATAATAACAATAAAAGATAATCCAAATTAAAGAGTCTTATCTAAAATGCTCTTATTGGAATCACAGAGTCTATAAGGTGCTTTGTCAGGAGCAATGTCCTCGCTGTCCTCATCCGTGTAGATCCACTCATATGCAAAAGATAAAAACAAATAGAGAACCAAATAGTGCAATATGTCCAGTAGTAAAACGACAAATGAATATAAAAAGTAGGTATAAAACTCACATGTACAAGAGCTATAGCTAGCTCTAGTGTAAAAGGCGTACAGCGGTACAATCCCCGCTTATGGGATATGGGGTAAACTTTCTCCGTCAAAGGTATGTCCAATGCTCAAAGAGACAACCAATAGTGCTCACTGAATAAAATGATGATCAATAAAATATATATAAAATGGTACTTACAAGAAAGGAGCAGGCCAACTGCTCCTTGATGATAGCGCTGGTGGTGTGATCCCCACTTAGGATTACTTGGAGTCCAGGATGATAAAATGCTAGGTAAAAGGTAATAACAATCTTGTTTCTTGTCAACTCTCTGCACTCAACCACAAATCAGCCTGCTGCTTCCAGCCCTCAAAGGCGAAATAAGGCTTAGCTCATTGGCTAAGAGAGATCAGTTAATACTCTCAGCCAACAAGTTGGCCCTGAATCTCATGAGTTAGCTCAGGAGATTTAACGGAAGCTCCTAAGTAGGAGCAGACCCCAGATGAGAAGTCAAATTGTCCTAAAATGGCTTGACTATTTACAATGAGGAGCATGCTGTAGTGGTTATGGTGCTTGGAGTGTTCCCTTAAGAAAATGTGCATGCTTTGGGAACATTTTCCACTATTAATTGTTAATATTTGTGTGACTCATTACTTAAAGGAATGTACATACTTTGATATACACAAGCTTGATACAGTTCATTAAACTCTCTGTTTGTGTTTTAGATTATGGAGACAGTGTTTGTCCAGGAGCACGAGAATCACCACTTTTAAAAGAAGGAGGTAAGCTTCTGTATTCAAAGCGAAAAGTAAAGGAGAGAAAAAACAAGAAGCAAAAAAACTCATCTGAAAACTCTACCACAGATGCCATTACATGCACAGAACTCAATCATACGAACGTTGATGAAAATTCTCTAGATGAAAGTCTAGAAGAGCAACAAAAAGGTGAAGTAAAAAAATATACAAGCGCTCTTCGGGCTCGTAAAAACAGAGACGAATCAAAGAATAAATGCCAGAAACAAGGCAAAAATTCTCTGAAAATGCAAAAGCTAACAGTTCATTATTCACCATACAAGGTACAGAAGACGTACACATGCACAGAGTGTGGGAGAAGCTGTATTTCTAGTTCACATCTCATCATACATCAAAGGTCACACACGGGGGAGAGGCCTTTTTCCTGTGATAATTGTGGCAAAAGCTTTGCTAGGAGGTCTTCTCTTGTAATACATGAGCGAATACACACAGGAGAGAGACCTTATACATGTACACACTGCGGAAAGAGCTTCACTAGCAGCGCCACACTGTCCACCCACATAAGAATCCACACAGGAGAGAGACCCTACGTATGCTGGGAGTGCGGTAAGAGCTTCACCAGTAACTCCTCTTTGTTCATACACAACAGAACTCACACGGGAGAGAAACCCTATATATGCGTGGAATGTGGCAAAACCTTTTCTTGTACGTCTGCCCTTGTTATCCACAAGCGATCACACACTGGAGAAAAGCCTTATACGTGTGAAGAGTGTGGAAAATGTTTTGCAGACAACTCAAGACTTGTCAAACACAAGGCAGCTCATACAGGAGATTGGGCCTATGTGTGCACAGTATGTGGAAAAGGGTTCACATGCTACTCAAATCTAAACGTACACCAGAGGTCTCACACTGGAGAGAGGCCATATGCATGCACTAATTGTGATAAGCGATTTGCTCTTAATAGAGATCTTGTGAGACATCAGTCAATACACACTGGGGAAAGACCATTTATTTGTTCTGAATGTGGTAAGAGTTTTACTCGTAAAGCGCATCTTACCACGCACTTGAAAATACACACAAGGGAAAGAGCAGGTAAGATCTGTGAGTGATGGACATGCTGGAAGAAGATTTTACTTGACATTCACCCAGTTCGATAGATTCTGCTGCTGGAGTAAATTTATCTTCAATCCGTTGGCATGCATCGACATCATAAACATCATTTGAAACGTAGATATCTAAAGTTTGCACTTTTACATTTGAACAATAATAATTTATAGCTTTCAAGTAATAAGAAAATATTATATAAGATTCCATATTTTAATGTTATTGTCCAGTAATAATACAATATACTTACCAAGAGTTGGGACTTTTTACAATACCTTTCAAATAACATTTTTCATAGTAAAATAATGGGCAAGCTCGTTCTTTATGAAGTTATGGGAAAAAAATGCTGCATGTATTGTCAACTAGTTTAAAAATACATTAATCCTGTAGAACTATTAGAGGCGCTAAACATCATACCCGCTACTGCTTACTGTAGTGGTTATGGTACCTAGAGTCCTTGGCAGCACTCCCAGGTTAAGAGTGAAACAGGGTTATTTGCTTAAAGTGAGAATTGTTGAGAATTAAAAGTGAATTTAAAATGTAAAAGAACACTATAGCGTTAGGAATACAAAACTGTGATTCAGCTTCCCCCCCACCCCCACCCGCCTGTGTTGGAAGGGTTAAAAACACTTTTAAAACTTGACTTTAAGGATGTCACACTGATGGAGGACCTAATGCGCATGCCCAGCAATCACGGCATGCACATTAGAACTTTCCCATAGGAAAGCATTGAATCAGTGCTTTCCTATAGGGAGTTTTTTTAGACACTGGCTGTCCTCATGCAAAACATGAGGATGTCCAACATTGTTTCACCGAGTTAAACTTTACAAAAATGCAGGAAATGCCTCATAGTGGCTGTCTGGAAGATAGCCACTAGAGGCTGTATTAACCCTGCAATGTAAGCACTGCAGTTTCTCTGAAACTGCAATGTTTTAGGTCAAGCTTGCCGCGAGTTTGAGACATGCTTAGTGTTAAAGAGAGTAGGCACCTGCTTTCTCTAATTTGCAGGTGCCTGCTCTGCTAAAGTTTACCTGGCCGGGGGGAGAGGTTGCTGGAGGAGCTCAGTCTTCCTGCTCCCTCACGCACGCCCTCTGTAGTGATACCGGGTGCCAGAATATGACATCATATTTCGGCACCCGGTATCCCTAACCTGTGCGCGAGGGAGCAGTGAGGAGCAGGAAGGAAATCTCCTTTTAGAAGATCCCCACTGGACCCCAGGGAATGATGTTAGTGTGTGCAAGAATGTGTAAATGTCTGTGTGTGTCTGTCAGTAAATAAGTGTCTGTGTGTGTGTGTGTCTGTCACTGATTGTGTGTGTGTGTCGTCATTGTTGCGATGGCTGTGGCTGGACAGTGGAGTACCTGGAGGTGCACGGAGGATGCAACGCCAAGTCACATTCTGACGTGACGACGACGTGCTCCACCTTCACAGGGTTTCAAGGAGTGAGAAGATCCGCTTTGGCACTCGGTGCGGACGGTGCCATTTGGGATATGCCAGAGGCCAGACTCCGGAGTCACATACAGGCAGCGGCAATGTGAGTGGAGTCTGTTTGTTGGCTAGAGGAGGGTGCTGGGATATGGTATATGGAGAGGACTGAGATTTAGTGTATGGGGGGACTGGGATTTAGTAGAGGGGGGGGGGGTGCTGTAGTTTAGTGGAGGGGATGCTGTTTTTTTTCTATACTGTACTTTTCAGAATAAACGTTTCTATGAAAATGTAGGTGTTTTTTTTTTTTTTTGTGGCCCACATAAACTTAAACCTTGTTTATTTGGCCCATGCTAGACTTTGAGTTTGACATGCTTGTTTTAGATTGTGGGGTTAAGGAAACAGGGACACTGCACCCAGACCACTTCAGTGAGATGAAGTGGTCTAGGATCCTAAAGTGTCCCTTTAAGGCCAAAGTAGCTGAACTGGAGGAATAGTTGACTTGGGTAATTTTTTAAGTTAGGCTATTTTTACCTTTTTTTCCCCTTCTTAATATGATATTCACTTGAAACTTTGAATTCCTAACAATTCTCACTTTAGTAAAAAATCCAGAAACTATATTCCAGTGATTTGCAAATAGGGACAAAATTGATATCTCTATGAAGACATTTGCGTTCCAAGTAAGTGTGAAACACTTCAAAATTGGTTTGACTGTTACCTGGCGAATAGCTTTAGGTGTGCTTTTCCGTTATGCAACTTGATGATCACATGGCTGTTTCAGTCAAACTAGAAGTTTCACTTTTTTTTTGTAAATGTATTTATTTTTGGCAGAGAAACAGAACCACTTTCAGCGCAGCCACTTTCCATATCTTTTTATTCAAAAACATGTTTATTCAGTAACATGTTTATTATTGAGATATATTTTTTACTTTTTCAGAAGTGATAATGAAAAAGGACAGAGGACCTTGCAGGGTCCGTAATTAGAGAATAACAAAACAACCATGTCTTACATCCATAGCAGTTATTTACAATAATTGCAAGAAAACATTGTATGGAAGCATTTTGGGCTTGCCAGTTGAAAATAGGATAGTTTACTACCATACCTATTGGGTGTATTTTACGGCAATGCGTGACCTTTCCCTCAGCATTCCATATAGTTTTAATGATGTTTCCTATTTGTAACATGGGCACAGTGCTTTTAGTTGTACTATATAGTGTGTTCATTTTATTTATGAACAACCCGTGTTACCCTGTTACTGGTAAATAATGGAGTGTCTGGATCATAATATCCTAAAGTTGCACTGATGAACACCAAGTGGAGCAGGTGGTGTCTCCTACCACTATCAGCTGGTTTTAGCAGCGGTAACATCACTGCTTTAAAACTGGGAAACCTAGGTTCGAATCCTGGTCAGATTACATTACCAGTAAGTGACCTTGAGCACGGCACCTAATGATATACATAGATTGAAAGCAGGGCTCTCTAATAGCTATACCCCTTTCACTTGTTTTAAAGCACTGTGGAATATGTCTGCGCTATATAAATGATGATAATGATAACTTGCCACTGAACTTTGTCAGCTGATCTTGTATTTTTATTGTGGTAATACAAATACACCTTTCTTTATGGCTCCTATGACCTGTATACCACGTTATATTTAACAGTCCAGCTATAAAAAGTATTGTGTCTGAAAAGTGATCTAAAGTAATAAAAGTTGAACAGTCACCATATAAACAAATGGAATCAGCAAGTTTGTTCCAATATTGATTCCTAATTTACCCCTTTGCACCACTTTTAATAAAACTTTTTTTTTTTTTAAACTTAAAGGGACACTGTAGTCACCTGAACAACTTTAGCTTAATGAAGCAGTTTTGGTGTAGAGAACATGCCCCTGCAGCCTCACTGCTCAATCCTCTGCCATTTAGGAGTTAAATCCCTTTGTTTATGAACCCTAGTCACACCTCCCTGCATGTGACTTGCACAGCCTTCCATAAACACTTCCTGTAAAGAGAGCCCTATTTAGGCTTTCTTTATTGCAAGTTCTGTTTAATTAAGATTTTCTTATCCCCTGCTATGTTAATAGCTTGCTAGACCCTGCAAGAGCCTCCTGTATGTGATTAAAGTTCAATTTAGAGATTGAGATACAATTATTTAAGGTAAATTACATCTGTTTGAAAGTGAAACCAGTTTTTTTTTTTTTTCTTGCAGGCTCTGTCAGTCCTAGCCAGGGGAGGTGTGGCTAGGGCTGCATAAACAGAAACAAAGTGATTTAACTCTTAAATGACAGTGAATTGAGCAGGGAAATTGCAGGGGAATGATCTATACACTAAAACGGCTTTATTTAGCTAAAGTAATTTAGGTGACTATAGTGTTCCCTTAAGTCACAATATGTTTTGTACCCTTTTAAAAATCAATGACAAGGTCCACATTTTAAATAATTTATGTAGCAGCAACCAAACTCTCCTTACATATTTATTATGAAAAAAAGACCTTAAAAAAAAAAACCTCACTTAATCATTGCACTTCATGAATGGGTGCCTAGAGTTACTATTTAAAGGATCACTATAATGTTGGCAATACAAACATGCCACGCTGTCTCTTTGCTGAGATCACCAAGATTGATGATCTCAGCCAATCTATTGCTTCCCCTGTAGGGAAACATAGGGAGGCTATTGCACATGTGCAGCAAATCCCTGCGCCGATAAATTGCCCTCTAGGAGCAGAATTTGATTAAAATTCGAGTCTGACTGGGGTCGGCTCTCACAGGGGAAGCGTCTCTATTGGCTGTCAGGAAGACTGCTTCTAGAGTTGTGTTTAACCCTGGAATAGAAACATTGCAATTTCTGCAAAGCTACAGTGTTTAACATTGCAAGGTTAAAACTAAAGGGCCGTTGCACCCAGACCACTTAATTGAGATGAAGTGGTCTTGGGTGCCTTTAGTGATCCATTAAGTATGTCTTTGGCAGTGTACCACTGTTTAAATTTATTTCCACCCTGTAAAGCACTTTAAAAAATGAAATATTTATACTGAGTGGTTGAATGTTCATTGCTGAGGTGCATTTTGATGATGTAACAGCAGATTTATTATCATTTGATATTAATTATTATTTTTCATTTTCACAGCTTTAAATTCACTAACCTTTTAGGTATTTTTTTGGGTCAGAAGTTGCAGAAACAGATGCAGAAAGGCATGGATATATAGATACATACACAGAGAAACACAAATTAAGAAATGTACAGGGCACTCCACTGATGTGTGAATAGTCAGATTTAAAAAAATTTTTTTTTTTCATTTTAGGCCTTCATAGCAAATTTGGAAAAAAAAAAAAAAGTCCCCTCGTTAGTCCAACTATTTTGCTCAGCACATACTTGAACAGGAGCCAGGAGTGAAACAGCCTTGATTCTGGGTCACAAATTATATTCCTATGAGATATGAGTAAGTGCCAAGAGATTGTAGTTGATTCACTTATAATATCTATACCCATGTCAATATTTTAATTTTTTTATTTTATTGTGCACATAACATACAGAGAAGCAAGCAATGTCACAACAGCTCTTGCTCACGTGACGGTCAACGTTTTGCATTTGTCTGGCATTTTAAAACTTTGCACATTTTATAATATATTAAACATTCCCCATGACACATTGTATGTTTAATTGTATGTTTACATGGATATGTTATGTTCATTAAAAATGAAAATTTGATGATGGACGGCACACCAAAATATGATATATTAATCTGTAATAATGCTTCTTTTCTGTACCACGAACTGTATGTACTTACTGAATCTCGGCCTCTGTACGAGCTGAAAAACTGAGGTGCCGTCTCATGTGTCAAGACAAAAAAAAAAAAAAGACAGTGTTTACAGCAAAAAGCCTGAAGGTAATGATTCTACTCACCAGAAGAAATTCAATAAGCTGTATTTGTTCTGGTGACTATAGTGTCCTCTTTAAAGATTTTTCAAATAACAATGTATACTTTATATACAATAATATACAATAAATAAGAATATTGAATACAGAAAATAACATAATAAAACAGAGGATAAACTCTACAAGTACAATCATCCAGTGGGATACAAGTACTAACTTATCAGTTTATATACACTATATTATTATATACAATGAAATATATACAACATATTCGCAATCATCATCCGGTCAGGAACGAACTACAAAATAAGATAATTGATTCAAGTAGACTTGTTAAAGGCACCATAAGCATTGCAGATTTTTTATAGCTGTTATGGTGCGGTCTCTCCAGTTTTTGTTAAACCAGATTTTAATTGGTTGACATAAACCAAAGGATTCTTGGTGCCCAAAGTCCACACTCTGAGCTTGGGATATCATACGAGATTTTTTTTTACCAGGAGACTGTCCATCAGCTGGCCCTGCAGGTGTTTTTAAAAGGGTTAACAAGGTCAGGAGATGGCCAATTATATGACTATAAGTGCATGCTTTGAGCCAAGAGATGACAAGTCTCCTAGCCAAGAAGTAAGTAACACTAGAAGGCCTCTCACACCTTAAATGTTTAGTCTGCATGGAGCCATTTAGCGAGTCAGACTGCGCCTTTTTTTATTTCATAGATCTTTTGGATGATGATATCAGTGATGACATCAATTGCGCTAAGAAAATAGTCAAAGAGTTCAAAGGATTGGCTGCCTGGTAAGTAAGATGATGTAAGCTGGAATTGTGCATTATCCATTGCCGTTATTGATCAATGATCTCGAAAGAGATTTGTGTCAGTGGCACTAATTAGTCACTTTTACTAATAAGTCCTTAGAATGACTATTCCTAGTCCTCACAGTATACTGTTAACCTATTCTACAAAATCCATAACCCACCAACCAAGACAATAAGTTGTTTGGCACTTAAGGTTCACGATACCTGACAATTTGATTCCCTGTCACCACTGCCACCCATCTCACTTTTATAGTCTTCTAGCTCTTTTATATGTTGCAGACTAGGCTATAACCTGCACGCTAGGAAAATAGCTTGCATAAATCCTAGATCTAAACAGATCTAGAAAGGCTCTAAAATACTATTTGTGCATTAGATAGACCAGGTATACCTTCCTTTACACCAGGGATGCCCAAAAGAAAGATCCCCAGATGCCTTTAGAATGACAAAGCATCATGGAAGCTGTAGTTTTCAAATATCTGGGGATCTACCTTTTTGGGCACCCCTGCTTTACATTATCTTCTGTGAGTCTGCTTTGTAAGCAGTTAGTCCATTTCTGGTTTCTACTCAAGCAGGGCAGGTATTAGGACTTTAGGAACCCAGTGCAAAAAATCTTCACAGCACCCCACTCTGGCCACACCCCTTCATCCAATACCTACCACCATTTAAATGTTAGAATTGTCAGAAACTGGATGTATTCCATATTCCTGCCATCTTGCACAGAGTTCCACTGACCCTCTGTTTTGTTCTTATGTGCATGTTTAAGTGTGTACCATTGGTGTAACTCCTGGCAGCGTTGCCTGCAAGGAGCTAAAAATGGAGCTGCTGAAATTTAAAGGGGAATTGTCAATTCCAGAAAAGTGGCAGTTTCTTGTTCCCTCTTGATGCTTTTAAATGTCACTGTAAAATATATATATATTCACAGTTTGAAACATACACATACTTGAATAAGTTTGTTATTGAATACTGTATATAATTATTATTGAATACTGTATATAATACAGTAATACAGTATTAATCATATGAATATTAGACATGTGTATTTGGTTTCGGAAGAATGGCAAGACGACCGAAAATAGTTTTTTGCTCATTTAGTCAGAAAGAGAATAAAAATCGCTATGTTAGTGAATGTCAGAATAACTGACAGGTTCATAGACCGAATATCATTCGGTCAGCATTCAATCATTAGGTTAATCATTTCAACCAATCACAGTGCAGTAATCAAAATGTCTGCGGAGCGCTTTGACTGACCGATCCAGTGACAAAATCATCATGTAGTACTATTTGATATAGATTGTTTATATTAGCCAATCAATGTCAAATTCCTGCGAAATTGGACCAACTGAGCTTTAAAGGGATGGCTTTGAAAATCTGTGCAGAGGACTGCCTTAGTGGGTTTAATTTTGTGTTGCTGCTGGACAGGGCCGGCCTTAGGCAATTAGGCGCCCTGTGCAAAAAGTCTTCACGGCGCCCCCCCCACCTCCCACCAAGTTGCCTGAATACAGTAACACACACAGGCACCGGGGACGTGTGTATCACGAGGCAAACAAGGCATCTGCCTTGGGCGCCACTTTGCAGGGGGCGGCAAAAAAAAGCATCCCTCCAAACCCCCAGGCAGATCCCTTGCTTGCCTCGCATCCTGGGGGGCTCAAGAGCTGACCGGCTGGCCACTTTTGAGCCCCCCCAAGGCTGGCAGCGGGCAGCGAAGGAGCATACTCACCTGAGCTCTTCCTGCTCAGCTTCCTCTGCGCCGCTTAATGAAGCCGGGAGCCAGAATATGACGTCAGTCCGGCTCCCGGCATCACTAAGCGCTGCTTACTCAGCCTGTGCGCCCCCTGCCTGCCTGCCCAGCAGCCACACTGGACTGCTGGTAAGAAATCCACTCCAGCTTTCCCAGGGAGGCTGGGTGGATTTAAAATAAATGTAAAAAATATTAGTTTGTGAGTGTTAGTGGAAATGTCTGTGTGTGTGTCTGTGAGTGTTTATTTTGAAGTGAATGTGTGTGTGTGTGTGTGTGTGTGTCTGTAAGTGTGTAATTGTGTGTGTCTGTAAGTGAATGTGTGTGTGTCTGTGAGTGAATGTGTGTGTTGGTCAGTGAGTGTATATGTGTCAGTCAGTGAGTGTGTATGTGTCAGTCAGTGAGTGTGTATGTGTCATCAGTGAGTGTGTGTCGGTCAGTGAGTGTGTATGTGTCGGTCAGTGAGTGTGTGTCGGTCAGTGAGTGTGTGTCGGTCAGTGAGTGTGTGTCAGTCAGTGTGTATGTGTCGGTCAGTGGAGTCGTGCATCTTTCAGTGAGTGCTTGCGTCTGTCAGTGAGAGTGTGCATCTGTCAGTGTGTGTCCAAGTAATAGTGTATGTGTGTATGTCATTGTTTGTCAGTGTATATGAGAGTGTGTGTCTGTCAGTGAGTGTGCGTCTGTCAGTGAGTGAGCGTCTGTCAGTCAAAGTGCGGCCTTGACAGGAAGGGGTGGGGGAAATTTAAACTCGGTTACAGGCATGTACACACACACTCAGTTAAAGGCAGTCACACATACAGGCACAGGCACAAACAATGGCACAGCTACAGCGACACACACAGACAGACAGTCACATAGGCAGTCACACACACAGACAGACACACAGTAACACACACATAGACAGTTATACACACACAGGCAGGCAGTCACACAGATAGAAAGTCACACACACAGGCAGGCAGTCACACACAGACAGATAGTTACAGACAGACACACACAGGCAGGCAGTCACATACAGGCAGTCACACACACAGGCAGTCACACACACAGACAGACAGTCACACACACAGACAGTCACACACAGAGACAGTCACACACAGAGACAGTCACACACAGAGACAGTCACACACACACACAGAGACAGACAGTCACACACACACACACAGGACAGGCAGTCACACAGACAGTCACACACACACACACACACAGACAGTCACACGCACACAGGCAGGCAGTCACACAGACAGTCACACACACACACAGACAGACAGTCACACAAACAGGCAAACAGTCACACACACACACTTACCTCTTTCCAGTGGATGCAGTTGGCTGATGGGGAAGCATCTTTCCCTCTTCCTGTACAGCAGGGGCTTCGGGAGGTATTAGCCCCGTCTCCGCCTCTCGATAAGCCCCGCCTCCGCCGCTCGGTAAACCCCGCCCCCTCTGCCGCGATTTTTTTTTTTTTTTTTAAATAGACCCGGGTGGAGAATAATTAATCCTCCAGCCAGGTACCTCTTTTAGCTCCCCTGCACTCCGGCCATGAGTGAGCTGTGTCGGCCACAGGGCGCCCCCTGTTCCATGGCGCCCTGTGCGGTCGCACAGCTCGCACACCCCTAAGGCCGGCCCTGCTGCTGGAACACTGAAGATTGAGATAGAGTGAGCAGCAGTTAAGCACTGTTGATTGCTGGATTGCAGTCTTTTAGCTAGCTATCAGCAGGTGGCACTACACACTAGCCAGAGAAATCATTAATTTTAACTTCTGGAGATTTTCACTCAATTCTCCATCATATTGGTTGTTATTAAACTGAAGGTGCTAGGTAGTAGACTTGTGCAAATATCCATTATTCAGTAAAAAGCTGAAGGAACATCAAAAACATGTAGCATCATGTGTCATAGCATCGTCTTCGCCAAGATGATGTGACACAGTAGAACTTCAATTTGGAGATGATGGAATGTATCTGTGAGTAGCAGAGAGTAATACATTTCCTGTCATCAGAGATGAGCACAGGAGTGACATTTCCACTGGCAAGAGAAGAATGGGGAGCTATAGGTCAGACAGTGGCGGTCCTTCCTTACGTTTTTCCAGGATGACACATAAAATCAAGCCAAAGCAAGCCATTGGTAGTTGACTTCATTATTTAAGTTCCTAAAGAATAAAACGGAAGCAGTCCTGGAGGGAGGCTACAACCAGACGTTGACACCATTTGTGACCCAAGAA